GTACCAATGACATAAATAAATATGACAATCATTATAAAATAATTAAACAATATAAAATATGAACACCTTAATAATTATTATGGATAAAAATAATCGTAGATTAAACAAATAAATGAGGTTAGGGACACCCCACTAAATAAATATACATAAAAAATAACATAAATAAATATACATAATAGTATGTAAAATTTAAAAGAGATAAGGTTCTCCTTCCCCTTACCTAGATAAGTAGGAACTAAAACTTGGGCAAGACCTCCCCCTCTGGATTCCCTTTTTCTTTCCCTCTCTTTCTTTTTCTTTCTCTCTCTTTCTCTCTCTTTTTCTCTCTCTCTAAGATTTTCACCTTCTCACTAAGTTGTAAATTTTTCACAGCCCAAGCCTCCTATTTATAGGTATTCTGGCGTACCCGGAACGGCCCGTACTGATTTCGGAGCCTTAAAATATACATAAATTTCTCAACGGGAACGGCCCGTTCTGAAATCAGAACGGCCCGTTTCCAAAAAGCAGAGCGACCCGTTCTAAAATTAGAACGGCCCGTTCTGGAGTTCACTTTTACACAGGTTGACCATAAGGAGAACGACCTGTTTTCAACTTGGATTTTAGGCCATTTTTGTTTATCTGGAACGGCCCGTTTCACTTTTTGGAACACCCGTTCCGCTTTTAGGAACAGGCCGTTCCGCTTTCTGGGAACAGCCCATTCCGCTTTTCGGAACAGGTCGTTCTGGGCCTAAAAAAATCAGAATTAATTTTTTTATAAATAATTTAAATTATTACAAACTTTTAAAATATTCTATAAAGCTCCTTTTAATTAACAAAAATAATAATCTTCATAAATATAAAAATAAATAATAATTAATAGCCTATTAGTAGAAAATTCGGGATGTTACACTATAGCTTCTAATTCAATAAATTTTATTATTTCTACTGGCTTTTATACATAATTTTGAAAGATTAAAATAAAATATTTTGTTTAAAATATAAAATAATATGTGAATTTTGTAATTAAAATTGAAAATACTTATATTTTCATAAAATAAAATTATTTCTTTTATTTTTCAGTTTTCAATTAGTTTAATAATTTTTTTGATGAGTTCAATTAGTTTATTAATTACTTTTGTCAAAGTGAAATAATTAGTTATCTGTAAAGTATTTGAAATTAATTAATTTATTTATTTTTATTGAAACCAATTATTTAATTAAATAAATGAATTAAAAATAATAATTAAACCCCTAATTTAAATAAATGTAATTAGGTAGTTGTAATATTCTAAATTTATGATACAATATTATCTTATATATATATATATATTTCTTTTTAAATTTTAGTTATCCTATTTAAAATAAATCAATATGGTGGTACTATTAATTTTTTTTATAGATAGTTATAATTTACATCATCATATAAATATATATATATATATATA